TCAGGATATTTTCTACCATGAGTCTCTATCCTGATTATCTACAAGCATCTTGACCCTTTCAACTGATCACATGTTCATCTGATGCAAACAAAACACTCATCCCACAAGATTCATAACGTTTTCTTCATTTATATTTCAGTTAATTTTTGAAATTTATTTAAAATCTGCTTTGTTGTTTTGTGGTGAAATTACAGAACTGATCACATCACCTTTCCTCAATTAGTTTATTTTTCTGTTGTTTATGCCAGAATAAAACCTGTTTAGTTTCCAAAGTGTGAAATAAGTTAATTTGTCTCCTGAAAGTTCTAAATACTAAAAAAATGAGGCGAATGCACATTTTTGTCTTTGTGAAATGCAAAGTTTATATTAGTGGTTCCCACACTTTTCAATTTTCTAATCACAAAAAAAAACTGACTTGTGACTCCAATTAGATTTCACAGACAATGCGCCATAATTTACCTATTTAAGATGACAATTTAAAGTTTTTTATAGTTTTGAGAAAGTTTGCTATGAATAATCATTTTAAAAGTTGATTTGATTCCTTTAGACCATCTAAGACCTCCCTCTCTTGAGTTTTACAAGCACAGGGTCTCTCACTGTGAGTTATTGAGCCCAGCTTGAGACCCAGTGATCTAAATTAAAACTTCAAAAACTTTTCTTGCGTCGAATGCAGCGGGTAAAGGACCTAGAAGCTCATTTTACCTATTGTTTAAAATTCTTACTAGTTTAAAATCAAAAATGAAAAGTGGTATGTTGGTTTTAATAACTACGAATTATTATTGAATTAATGTGTTTGACTTGCATCGTTAGACCAATTCAAAGTGACGACAAMGATACTTTTTATTCTTTTACAAAGGGGCTCTGAATTACTCAATATAGGTGAAACYTGCACAAGAACAAAAACCTTTTTTTTAACAATAAGAGCTTTGAAAATTATTTCATTATAGAACTTTTTATAAAGTGACAGAAATAAAAATGTATGATTACTATATTTAAATCAAACACTTTTTTAACATTTATCACAATGTTAACTCACGCTCGCACAACTGAAATACTTGTGTGTGTGTGTGTGTGTGTGTGTGTGTGTGTGTGTGTGTGTGTGTGTGTGTGTGTGTG